TTCTCAATGACTAAACAAGTGCCTATGTTAAAAATATTAGCAAAAACCCCCCTATGAAAATTAGTCAAAGCATGAAAGACCCCTGCGGGCTGATTGTGTGTTACACGCACTGATTCTGCAACTCTTTATTATATTTGTGTAATGAAAAGTCCGAAATGCCCTCTAAAATTATTTTATAACTAAACATAAATTCATTTGGATTTAAAAATAAATAATCCAACTTTTTGGATAAAATTGCAATTTAAAAAATTTATTTATACAGCTTCCCTGCACCATTTCATCGTCACCATCAAATCATCCTTCCAATACTGCCATCCATTCTCCCCACCACGTACTTTAATGTCGCCGCCACATCGACGACTACCGGTGCTCCAGAATTTCATCGGAATCTTCATCAAAAGCAAATTCAAGTCTAAAAGCCCAACTTTAGGGTTTGAGATTTTTGGATTTCTTCAACATAGAGAAAGAAGAGGGCCAAGATTCGATTTTCAACCGGGCCGCCATAGATGTATGTCGTAACCTTCGAGACAGAGAAAGAAGGGACCAAATTCCAGATCCAATTTTTTTTATTCCGGATTTTGGAATTTTGTACAAAGAAAATTCACCTATATACATAGGGGCAGAGAGTTAATTTGTGAGTGTAGATCCACCATGGAATATGCCGCCGGTTTGCGCCGCCACACCTTCCCGGACGCTGGTTGAACCTCCGTCGGTCTGCGGTCCTTATATTAGGGGAACAAAGAAGATTGTTGGAATTTTGTTAGTTTTTTGAAAAGATGTGAAGGGGAGGAGGAAGAAGATGGAGAAAAAAACAAAAGAAAAATAAAATTCCCGACCGAAAACAAGAATCCAACCCAGAAAATGGACCGACGGTGGATACGCGTTTGGGATTTGGATATTTTAATTTATTATTTGTTTTTAATTAGGGGTAGTTTAGTGATTTTACATGGGTCAACAGGTAATTTTAAAATAAAGGGCAGTATGCTTTTTCATAAATAACATAAGGGGTTTTTTGCTAATATTTTTAACACAAGTGTCTTTTTAACTATTCGAGAGATTACACAGGGGTTGTGCAATTAGCTCATATATATATATATATATATATATATATATATATATATATATATATATATATATCTTAGCCTGTTGTTTTCTTACCTAACAATGTACTAATGGCCAACCACTTCAGCCTACAAACGCTCTCCATTTTCCACTGCAATCCACCTTTCAAAATTGACTTTAATTCAATCTAACTAAGCAATTGTGTCTGAACTTATTAATATAATTAAGACTGAGGTTAATGAATTTTTTTTAATAAATTATAATTAATTAAGAATATGAGATTTTAACGTGTAAATTAATACACATACCTATCTCTATATAAAAGATTATTTATTTATTTTTTATATTATATAATATAATTGACGATAAGAATATCAAGAATCAGCAACTTTTCCCTGATATATAATTTTACAACAACAAAAATAAATAATTAGTACAACTGTAGTAGCATTACATAAAGCACAATTAAATATTTTGTTTGTCCTAAACAATTAGAAAATTACATATGATCGATCCCCTCTCTGAATCAAACCTAACAAAATTAAAACCCAGAGAGAGAATATATATATATATCAACGCCTAAATTTTGAGACAAAGAAAAAAAAGTTAAACGTAATTAATTAAATAAATAATAAAATAATTAATCTTCAAACCCAGTTTGCTTCCAAATGGCATTTCTAACCCTACTCAAATCCCTACCTTTAAGCGTCCTCCCAGCACCTTCATGCACCGAGAAAGACGCCACCCTCGTTCTAGCCAAATACTCGTGAGGGGGTATTTTGTCATTTCCACCTTCCTCATCATCCACGTACTCACCCCCGGCGCGTTTCTTGTACTCGCCTCCCAGTATTTTCGACCAATCAGGAACGTTAACCGGTACAGATCTCGGGCCCACAGTTAAATGATCCACGTGGCCCTTTCTCAGTGGCTTCCGCAGCGGACGCGGATTCGAATAAACTGGAAAAGTTTTTGCTTCGGGTACGCTGTTGTTATTGTTGCTGCCCCAAATCTCATCCTCGTCGAACTCGATCTCCGCCGTGCTCAGCCTGTCGGCGCCGCCCAGGTAGCGGTGGTGGTGGCTCTTCCAGCTTGCCGCCATTTGCAGTTGTTGTTTGCTGGGTAAGTAGGAGAGAAAATGTTGAGAGGAGAAAATAAGTGCTTCTTTTTTATAGGTAGTATAAGGTTTTATTTGGGTTTGGTATAGATATATCATATATATAGATATAGATATAGATATAGATATAATGTGAGTATATATTGGATAAGCTCTGGGCTTTTAAGCCAATAATAGAAGTTACGTTATTATTACAGCATTTATTCAGATATTATAACAGGATAAGCGTTGTCGTTTTTTCTCATAAATAAATAAATTCAAAAGCACTTTTTATTTATTTATTTAATTTAATAATGACGTGCTCGTCTGATCATCTCACTTTTAATTTTAACGCACACACATTTATTTTACGTGAAATATATTTTATATACTAAAAACGTCTACATGCAATTTGAGGTTTTTTTTTCTTTGTCGGAATATTATATGTACATATATTGTCAACTTTAATAATAAATAAAAAAATAAAAGAAAGATGTACTCCCTACTTTTTACACAGTTCACATTTCAATAAAGAAATTAGTAATTGTGTGGAAGTATTTAATGCATACAGATTGACAACCAATCACAAAGTAAAAGGATAATTTTATATATGCGTGGCGTAAATAATGTGATAGTTATTACTATTCCTAATTTGTCCATGCTGCCAGCTAACATTACTACATTGGTCATTGTGTTTTCTTCTGCTCCACAACAATATTATTATCAAATAAATAAATAAATAATTCATGGAAATAAATATATAAAATTGAATTCTCTTTATAAAAAAGTTTTCTATTGTGAATTAATGTTTTTCTATTGAGATAAACGAATTAACTGCCAATTGTAATATATAGAATGAGTAGAGTAGAGTAGGCTAATATTACCCAATCATATGAGCAATATGACAGATCAGATGACACGTTGCACGAATTGAGCAGTCCCACGTGTACCGTCCAATCAAATGCTCTAACTGAAATGATTTGTGCAGGCATAAATTAAACATTCAGGCACATTTTTTACCATTTCTCAAAAACCAAAAGGTAAAAAACTCAAAAAACTCTCTCAACCCTCTCGATTTTCTTTCGCAAAGCCCGTGCAAATCGTCAACAGATCGGAGGTAATTTTTACGTTTTTACGATCCTCTTGTTATGTAGATTACGAATCCGAAAAAAAAAACGAAAAAAATCGAGCTTAGCAACACTCGTGTGAATTTACACGAGC